AACTCACACAAAAGGGAGAAAGTACGTTTGACGTCGTTATATTTTGGAACGTTATGACAACATATTTTTCGTCTTAATATTTGCATATTCAGCCTACCTCCGGTTTTATGTAACCAAGTTCTCGTCGGCGTGTGGAAATTCAACTCCGCTTCGTGTGTGTAAGTTAAAGGAATGTGCCATACGTATCTGGTTAGCAAAACAGTATAAAAACATTTAAAAATTATGAGTCAATACAACCCGAGATCAAAGGAAAGCATGTGGTTGCTGTGAAATGAAGTGAAGTGAAGTGATGTGAAGTGAAGTGATGTGAAGTGAAGTGAAGTGAAATGACGCTTCTTGAAAACGATATCGATAGATATTTTATAAGTCCCAGCTCATTTACCCTAGCTGTGGTAACCCTGGGTCTTCTTGTGGTTCATCGTTCGGATCAAGTAGGAAATGCTCTTGTTCAGCCGTAACTAAATTGGTTGCTGTTCTCGTCAAAGTCACAACAGGAAAACCCATCTGTAGGACCCACGTGTCCATTATATCTTTCATGTCATAGCCCAAGGTCTCATTCATCCTTTTTCCCAAATGAGCGTCAACGGTCTGGATAAAAAAAAACATAGCAAATAGCAAACCACATCCATGCGGTGGTATGCTTGTGTCCGCATAGATGACATTTTTTGTCAGTTTGTAACATCTCAATATGACAGTATATATATTGATGAATATGCGAACAATGACGTATTTTTTTTTACAATGTATCAAAAATTTAGGAAAATCTTGGTTATTGCTATAGACAATATAGTGTATGCATTAAGCATAGTTACTTTACATACAAGCATATTAAACACTTTTATATGTTTCTAGGAAAAAAAATGTACCTACTTCCGTCAGTGCGGTCCAAAGGTCATCATTGACTGTGTTTCCCCATTCATGTCTGTGTAAATATTTTCGTAACCCATCAAACAGCAAGTCTTGAGTGAGGAAATCAGCCATCATATTAATTAAAGCGCCTCCCTGGGTTAACAAAAAGAACGTTATTTGATTAAAATAAATTATGTAGCCTAGAATGATACCTACTCAATGCAATCCGATGCATTGCCAAATCGTAACCTAAAAGTGTATCATTTTCAAGACAACACAGCTGAGATGTGTGGTCATAGAGTAGACACAGCCTGCTCACTATGTGGCACCACCTGTCTTCATTCATGCATCATACACTAGAAGTAGTGCATCGTACCTTTTGATATATCATCCTGTAAATAGTCCTCTCGGCGCTCACAGGTGTGGATGTACCGACTTGATCTGATCTCATCGCCCGATAAGTCACATCCCTCAGGAATAATTGGTCAAACTAAATGCAGATAGAAATGTGGAAACATGACAATGTGATAGTCGTATAGTAATCATGATCCATACATATCTGACGTGGAACAACTATCAATTGTAAAACGTCACATCCAATTTATAGTATGTTTTCTTTGTTTAAGAAAAAGTGTACCAATTAACCCTCTTTATGTGGCCACCTTAATTTAGGTGTCTCTAAACTATTCCCTTTTTCCCTCCGCAAAACAAACTCACTGTGTCAAAACCAGGTACTGAGTAATCCAATCCGTAGTATTGGAAATAAGTAGCAAATCCTTCATTCAGCCATAGATCGTTCCACCATTCCATTGTAACGGCGTTTCCATACCACTGAAATAAGTCACAGTATTAATTAAATGCAGCTTCATATTCACAAATATCTAAAATGTTGTCGAAGCACGGGCGATGTATCATTTCAGGGGCAACACAATAAATTCATATTCAATTACCATATGAGCTAATTCATGTGCAACTACTGCCGCAACTCCCTGCTTTCTACTAGGTGTAAAGTCACGTGGGTTGTAAATGATGTATATCTCCCTGTATAAAATCAAACCCCAATTCTCCATAGCGCCTGGTCCAAACACTGGCAACGCCGGCATGTCTGAAATGTGATGAAAACACGTTGAATATGCCACTGTCTCAATAAATTCAGGAACAATTACATTTTCATTTGATAACATTCGCCTCTCATAGTGAAGCTTTCAAAAACACCAACACTATACATACCTGTCTTTGTCATAGGGAAAGGCATGTTCCATAAGTCTTCGAACATTGACATTTGGTCCATACCGGTATACAGAGCATACTCAGTGTCTTCAATGAGCGATGGCTGAGAGCAAACCCCAAACTGTACAACGTAATAATTTTGTTTTAATATTAGTAATGGTCGTATTACGAATCAAATAAATATTCCATTTCAACAATTCACGTTTTTTAAAAACTACGTATACTGAACACACGCTATTTCCAGCCTACAGCACTACGTACGTTTCGTGTGACTGTAAATGTTTAAAACAGCGATTATTTAATAGTCAAAACACTCAAACACAACAACATAGCGAAATTGGTCGTCGGGTAATCTTTCAGATAAACATTGATATTTTGTAGCCTATATTAGGCGTATGTATGGAGGGAATTAGCATAGTTGGCTGTACATGGTAGCCGAACGTAGCGACGCCGCGGCAATTTACTTCACAATTATAAAAATTAGATGTCAATACTCACCGATATGTTGTTTCTTGACGTATTATAGATACATTCCCAATCACCTATGGTATATGCATTCAAATAACTAGACATCACAACTGTCTTATCGTATTCAGTCTCTATCCACCCCTCCAAATATGTACCATTCCTTACAACCTCCGTGTTGGCCAATGCAATACGTCCCGTTCGATAAATCAGAGTAGTGGTGAACGTTGCCTTCAGTGCTGGTTCATCGAAGCATGGGAATGCACGACGCGCGCGACTTGGTTCAAACTGAGTTGCCGCAAATGTTCTGAAACACAATTCATAATATTGCTTAATGTTCTGATGAAATCAGCGGCAGGTTTATTAAACTCGTGTAGTCATTTTCATTTGGAATAATCAGAACTCGTTCCCAATGTATATACACAATTAGAAATGATATATGGACTACCACAATATTCGAAATTATATAACTTAGAAACCAACCGCATATTTAGAAATTGACGTATTTTGAGTTTGTCAGCCTCGATGTGAAAAATTGAATCCGCCTATATTGACCAATCAGATTATAGCGATGTTTATTTCATTATCATGGGGATATTGACAATTACTACTCGTTATTCATTACACTGCTTTATTGCACGGATAGAATACAAATACAAACTTACCAAATATAATGATGTATACCTCGTATGTAATTAAACAATTCCTCAGGTAGGTGAATCGGGTAAGATTTCAACATTAATACAAAAATATTAAATATTTATATTTATTTCCACTTAAATAAAAAAACATGTCGGTAAATATTTACTTGATGGGGTACCAAATGTCACAAATCACTTACTTTCAAGTACAAATATTTTCAAGCTCTAATAATTTTAATTGTTTATTAACTTAGTTGTTGCTGCAGTGAAAAGTATTTTCAAAGTTGTATTTGCTTACTTTGTTAGTAATGTTTTGATTGTTATTTTTATTCAGCTATTTTAGCCATTCGTGAATATAATTTTGTTTCTTGTATTTGCAAATCATTTTCATTTTCAAAGGGCGTAATTTCTATGAAAATTATTACTGGCTGGCGTTCCAAGTCAATCTGGATTTTGAACAATATCATTCATTGATTATTTATCCTGAATCAACATATGATGTAGCTATTTATTATTATGTTGTTATAGCGCCACCTATAACATCAAAACATACTGCGGCAAAGAATAGCTTGGATTGTACCATTTTTAAGTATGTAAATTATGAAGGTGAGTTCCACATTAGATGGAAAGACAAAACATGCCATTTTGAATACGAACTTGACATGAATATTATTTAATAATAAAAAAATGATTAAAACTGTTATTAAAAAACACCGTACACCTTTTCATCACATTATGTGTTTTATGTATTTTATGTGTTCAAATATAACCACCCTACCAAGGAAAATGTAACGTTCTAAACTAGCTCTTTCCTCACACGATATGACTATAACTGCGTGATACTTGAAAGTTACAAGGTTTGACTCCGTGGGTTCAACGTTCCCATAATTCTTTATGGTAGCCACACTATGTAATTCACTGTACCCAGAGTAATAACACTGTGTCATGTACAGTACAAAGGTCGAAATTATAGTACTTGTACTGGTCACATGGTAACGCCTTTTATATTTATTCTACGAGCAGTTGGTATTTAATATCGGGGGCGAGGTCGAATGATTTGTACGGACGTATCAAATAATGCAATGAGTCTCCGCCGATGTTTGACTCGGTCTTTTCTACAACTTTAGACTCGTTTGTGTGTTAATGTGACAAAAAGTGCAATCTGGTTTGGCTATCGAAAAGACTCATCGCAGCGTGCAACTCGTTATCTGCACAATGTGGCATATTAACCTAGTGTTTCACCATATAATTCATACCATGTCACGCCCAGGTTGTTTTACAATGATTGTATTTATGATCACATACTCAAGAAGCTGTCAACTCTGACATACAGGACATAACTTTGGGATTTTATGGAGTGTTAACATTATTCACCCTTCTATCCTCTATGAAATTCAATCGGCCTTTTATATTATGGAATATCAATATTATTGCCGCTGTCCTGATATATATTTACTTATTTGCAGTACGTTCAATGAAAGAAGCATTGTCCGTCCTTATTTAGTTGTCACGGATTATTTAAATGTATCTCAAATTCCATCCATGACTGGCATGACAATTATTTCACAAACAAGCATCGTCAATGTGCACAATTCCTTCGATTCGTGTTCGATTTCATGTTACGTTTTGAGTAACCGGATTTCATTAGATTCTACGAGGTGAAAACTTGTTTGATTGTGTTACTGGAGTTCAATGAGTCACAGCTTAGCTTGAGCAACGATGACAGATTACGGTAAACAGGTATTATATATATATATATATATATATATATATATATATATATATATATATATATAATGTGTGTGTGTGTGTGTGTGTGTATGTTATGACATGACCGGTCGAAATGTTAATGTTCAGTGGAAATCGTGGCGGCTACGTCTCCTTTGTATGTTACACCCTGCGCAAAGGACTATGGGAGAATAAACAAGCTAGTTAATAAGTTAGTATGTCTCAGGGCCACGAAGAACACCAACACTGTGGCCTCCTGGAAACTGCCTAGTGGTGGTAAAAGTATTTCACCCCATCCGATGAACTAGGTTACTACAAATCTAAAAGAATTATAAATTGAAATCTACTTACTTTTCTTCCCCATCCTCTGTATATGTTGCGTAGTAGAAACCACGTAAATCTGTCTGATTTAAAGTACCCGTATGATTGAAATGTATTTTATACTTTTGTCCAACACCTAAGCTCCGCGATAGCTTGATGACGTAAAACTCGTTTTCGGGTACAGTCTCTGTGCTTGTGACAGAAATCTGCTGGTTATTATCGGTTTCAAATACGTCACAGCTGTCGACAGTCATTGTTTTAATATGCACAGTGATTTCGTCTGTTGCTTCTTTACACGTCACGTAAATATAAGTCTCACCGTCAATATCGAGGTATTTGTCACCGTCTAATTGTTCATCAAGATAGACCTGTAGTTTAACATCATAGTGATATGGAATCACAGTAGTCGGTAATCTGGCTTCTGGTACTGGGTCAGTTTTTGGGATGTCAACAGGTTTTGGCATCTTGATCGTTTCTGGGTCATCTGGCAACTCAATCTGGGTCACTTCACACTCTCTATCGGGAACAAGATACGCCAACAACACAGCACCAGTGAGAATTATAAGCGCAACTACAACCAGAATGTAAATAGTGGTCTTCTTAACCATCCAACCACCACTTAAGGGCTTTTTATCGCTAAAATCAAAAGTCGACATCTTCCTGAAAATTGCTTTCTCCGAGATGGAAAGTTTAGTTTTCAAAATGATTCGTGTCAGGTACCGTCGTCTGTGAGAGCAGAATGGCTGTAAAACCAACCTAGCTTGAGACACACACCTCAGTTGAAGTATCTTATAAGTTACTTATTGCCTCACAAATTACTTGCGATTTATGACTCGCGAGTGTTTGCGTACAGTAAACCTTGTCATAAAACCACCTTTGGTATGCATTGCGTAGCCTTGAACATAATCTTAAGATCTGTATATGTGATACCCTATAGGAATGCTAGTGTTGAACTCTGCCCCAGCATTATGTCATACCTGTTGTCGAAGAAACACTTATTTTGTTACATATATATAGCTTGATTGCGAATACAAATAGTGAATATGGATAGCACCAATAACCAAGCGTCCAGGTAATTTATTGAGTGTAGACGTTTTGTGGGTGTTGGTATACTCCCTGTATCACATAATCTGGTATGTGTATTTAACAATTACATCAATTGAAGGAGAAGTTATAGGTAAAATCGAATGGCGTGACTGTATTTGGGGGTCATATGAAATGAATATCTATGAGAATATTACTGACGAACTTAGTGCCGCGGCCCTCGAATGTTGTTTCGATGTACAGGCGTTATGTGAATGAAATGCTTCGATTTTATAACCCTGTGATTTAAAAGGACAAACTGTAATGTACGTTGCTACATAATCTTGTGTCGGTATTTCGTCTTTCTGGTGCTAATTTAGTCATTTCTGGTACATTGATGTCTATAAAGCTGTTATTTTGTTGAATATCTACTCCAATAACTGTCTTTCAGTTCACCAATTTATTGAAAGTCTCGGTTCAAAAATTATCGGCTAGCAGTACCGCAATATTTCAACTTTTAAATTATAATCCTCATTCATGATTTTGTAATCTGATTTTTTTATTTTTTTCCGCGTATATTAAACAAAGTTTGTATGAAAATCATTTTTAGTGTAATCTGTGGTATCCATACTCACCAAAACCGTAAACCCGTGTATTGTAGGTTCTCTCAATTTAAGCACGCAAATAACATGGTTCTCAGTAAACGACGCACACAACGGCTATTCAAACAAAGATACCCCCCCAATATAGTACATATACGTTCTATTGCACATCATTAAATAAATTACTTCACACGTTAGATATCTAAAACACGTTTAGCGGCGTACTGCTCTATATTGTTCGTTAAAGTAGACGGCAAAACCGTGAAAATGTTGAAATAACTTTTAATTTTGAGCCAAAAAAAAAAACAATTATAAAAGTTACAGTTATAATTATAATAATAGTTATAATTATATAAAACAATTATAAAACTTTATTTATTTATATTCACTAAACTACATTATGCCATTCCGTTTTGAATTCTGTCCCAGAAATGCACAACATGATTCTAGTTACCAGTGACAATAGAGTAATATAGTTGTCATATAAATTAGAAAAAAAGGGATGGGTGTCTAAAGGACAAACCGGAAACACCATGGAGTGCGAGTGAACGAATGAATGAATGGATGAATTAGTTAATTATAATTAATTAATTAATTAATTAATTAATGAATGAATGAAATTAATTAATCATCTTGAATTTACGTTATTAAACTCACTCACTCCGTGGCTTTACAACAACAACAAAGCTACTTTTACGGCAACCCAACGAGTTTCTCGACACTAACATCAATTCATCGCATTGGTTAGCAAACGTAGTTACTGTCATTCAGAAACAAAACATATTACCTTTTCATCTGCACGACTATTTCCATAGTAACCTAAAAAAAAACAAATCATACACTGTGATGTTAGGGCTACTGTCGTCATCGTATTATACAAATGTGTGATTCAAAATGGCTACTGTTCTTGTATATAGCCAATTAGTCTGAATTACATTAAACCCAAAGCTCCAGATTTTCATGCTATTCCGGCAAACGTCGATAAAGTTCTTCATATCGACTACATTCCCGATCAATTGGTTCGTGGGTCAATAGTCCACATACGACGATTGTTTAATGATCTTCAGTTGAGCGTGACAAAGGTAGCTCGTAGGTTATACAGCTATATTTTTAATAAGCTATTTTGCGACATTGCTTTTACATAAATAAAAAACCTGGTCTAATATTTACTACCCTAGCATGATGAACAAGTAGGATTCTGTAAAAGTTTTTCAAGAGTTGAAAATAATTTATGTTACAAACGTTTATAAACAGATATGCGAGTATGTGCGTTTATTATTGTCCAACTGTAAAGTCGGGTACAACAGTGACACGTTCTATATCTCATGCGTTTTTTTCTTTATTTATCATTGATTAATAGTCGAACTTGATTACTACGAGTTCGCTGGTGTTTATATTGTATCTATTGGGTTACTATTTATCTCTGTTCAACTTCACACCTATTGTTGAAAAGATTAGTGGATCATATAATAATAACTAAAAACTGAAAATTCTTTTTTTTTAAATAAGATCAAAGGTATGAAGGTTAGGCATGTGGGTATATCATTTAATAATTGTGGATTAGAAGTAGTAAATGCGTAATAGTATTGCATGGCAGTGTAATTTCTGGCTTCCATCAATCCAATAGAAAACATTGAAATCGCTCAAAAAAGGGTAGGCTACATTGCTCTTCAACTTGGTCAAGAAACGCTAATTTTAGGGGTAGGGGACGTCGCCGCCTCAGTGCGTAATACGTGCATTTCTTTGAGCTACTCAAATATTGACTTATTTGTTTCTACTATACTACTAATATAATGAAACCGAAAAGGGTAAACTGATATAAAAAATAAAATAAAATGACAACTGATATATAATAATATATATGAAGAACTTTTAATATCTACAATGTCAATATATAACGTTATAAGAATGTCAACTAAACCCCAAACATTTCTAAATTACATACCTGCCATCAAATCAAGACCCTTTTAACAGTGGTAAATATCTATTAGTGGTCGATAAAAGCACTTACAAAAATGTAATATTTAATATTTTTTTTTATTTACTTTTATTTTTTTATTCCATTAGTTTGAAATGTTATTACTACAGTAAGGTTAGCATTTTTCACGTTGTTACTGTATGAGAACATATTATTATTATTATTTAATCCATGTTTTTCGCACTATATAAAAATAATTATTTGTGTCGTGTCCCGTATGCACATGAGTAAAGTGGATAATACCTTATGTATAATTCGTCTATGTCGACACCGAAGCCGAGGCCGAGGCCGAAGGCGCACATACTTGTATTTCCAACGGGACATATTCAATACGAATAATATAATAAATAAATGTATGGTATAAAACCAGTAATTAATGACATTGAAGAAAAGCAGCTCCTCCCACAAAGTAAAGTACTAGTATAAGAGTGTGAGTGTGAGTGTGTATGTGTCTAATAATAATCCCTCTAGAGGAAATACGTATAAGTAAATGACAACAAATGACTTATAACTGTGTCAAATACTTGGTACATGAATCAATAATACAGCATATTCGAAGATAGCTTGACAAGGTCGCGTGAGTTGCGCCCTCCGCGGTGTTCCAATCTCAACACACACACGTTTGGGCGTTTGGCCTACATGTCAGGCTAATTCAAAGATGACTCGGCTCTCACGTAAACGTGTTACCCCCAGATACCCCTGGATGAAGCTACTATCAGATTATACCACTTTAATTATTTATATGTTATAACCACTTATAAACGATTAATCATGTGATTAGTAGTTTTGCAATTACACGACCATATTAATTACACTCTCTTAACTACTTTATATGTAATATTAATCGAATATTGACATATATCATGACAAACCGAATAACGAAAGTTGGAAGGTTATCACTTACATAAATACAAAGTTTCTAATCAGCGTTTTGTAAACTATAAATCATGTGACGACTAATGTATTCTCCTTCGCCAAAGTAATTACTCAAACCTAGCTTGCCAAACTTTTCCAATACTTGGGAAGAATTGTCATCAAGCAGTTGAGACTGTTCAGAAATGCGTGACCAGTCTGAATATCAATAACACTTTTGCGATGTTCTAATCTACACACACACACACACACACACACACACATATATATATATATATATATATATATATATATATATATATATATATATATATATATATATATATATATCAAACAACATTTCAGTGCTTCGTGATACACAAAACAAACCTGATGGGTTCACTAAATATTTATAAAAACACACTGCGTGCATCACTGATATGAATATAGAGTTACAGACATAAATACAAAGCAAAGACAGTGGTTCTCATAACCAAGTGTGGTACAACTCATGCGAATATGTGGTCTTAGTACTTCTAAATTGTTGGGCGTAGAAAAACAAACAACCAAGGCGTAGGCAAAATAATGACCGCACGCCCTACCTCAGTGCGGTGTCGTACAACAATACGATCCTCAATGTCTGATTGCCCCCACAACATTGTGAAAATGACAATGACGTAATTATGACATCTGTTATTGTAATAGTGAGTATATGCAGCGGAATTGAGGAATGTGTTTTAAAGACAGAATTGGCAGACACCAGGATAACACATTGGGCTTCGATAGTTACATCGACCTTTTGATGGGTTCAGAGTACATAACACCATGTGGTTGTAATTTGTACTGGGGTACTTATGAAGACTTGGTGAATCGTGGCTGAAGTAGAATCGTGATGACAACTGTATGTATAAGTGTTGATTAATCACATGTAAACGTATATAGCACACACAAATCAATGGATTTTAGTGTGCATCATGTCTCTGGAATCCCCATTAAGTTTATCTAAATATAATCGCATGTGATTTTCTGTGTATCAAATAAACGTTATATTGATACATTCCAAAACTAAATATAAATAATTGTAAGGAGAAGTTATGTGCCCCACTCCCAACGAACAGTCTTAACTATGTATTATGTATCGACTTACGCAAAATCAATCTTGGAGAATTCGGCTTCATTCACAATTCAGACAATGATGACA